AGCCTGTAATAACCAACAGTTGTATCTTGAAGCTGAAATCCATGTCAATTGAAATAAAAATTGTTTTAAAAATTCCCTTTCCAAGGAAGTGATTTTAAGTCGTTGTCACTTTGTGTCTTTGTGTAATAATATAGTTAATTTTACATGGCATCTGCCGGGTTCCGCCTTGCGAATTTTAGCGCCTCATCAGTAACTATTTTGGTGTTTGGGGGGACACAAGAAAAATTTGCTGGGTGTTGCTATTGATGTGTTTTTGCACGGAACCACCGCACAAGACTTAGAAAATTTGACATTAATTTCTGTTGTATAAGATGAATAATATTTTATGGGGATCCTTCTGTTGTTCCTATTTTTAATTTAAATGCAAAATACGAGCATGTTCGAGGTTAATTGAAAATAGAATGTCATAAACTCATTAATTGGCTTTACACATATTACGATGACTTTAATGCGAAAATAATGTTTCGCTTCGAAACAGACAACAAGGCCATATAATTAGCACTTATTGAATACAAATAAAAGCTGCCTTTCTAAAGTGAATTTCCTGTATATTATAATACTTAATGTGTTTCCTATAGATAACACTTTGTTGTGTATCTAAATTTTGAAGCGAAAATGTAAGCAAATAGCTGTAAGACGCAGTTTTTAATTTGCCATTAATAGTCGTTTCATAGTCTATCAGTAAAGCTGACCATTTTAAAGCTTGCATTTATTTTTTAAAGTTGCGTTTCTATTAGTTTTTATGAAAAAGCAACGATGCATCCAACCATATGTTTATAGACATGAAAAAGACAATGTTTTTCATGTTCAAAACAAAACGATTCTTCTGAGAAGGTAAAACAAGTACAGAAAAGCAAAAAGCATGTTTTTCGATGCGCGTTTGTGTGTCGTTTGTTAGTTTATGAATATCATCCAGTTTCTATGCATTTATGCATATCATCTATTCCAGTTTCTAATAATCCTCTGTAAATGGTCGCTGCATATGGTGGGAGCCTATCCCCAAGATTGATAAAAATCTAGTTTAGTTTTCAACCTGTTTGCAAAAACTCGGGTATCGAGGGATGACTAACGAGACTAGAAGACCAATAGTTTTCGAGATCCGTTTCATCGGGTTTTTTTGTGAAGACAAAGATTAAAAAGCCTTTGGAGGATTTGATGCTACTGTATCTTCCCAGTTATTTTTCTCATGTCTGCTGTTTATACCGTCTGCTCCTGGGGCTTTGTTGTTTTTAGCCTTTCTAAGTGCTTTATATATTTCCTCCAGAGTGATGTTGGGAACTTTTAAACTTTCATCTGCTCTTGCATCCATGGCGGACTTGTTGTTGTACAGGAATGGTACGAATTTCTCCACTTTTCGTAGTAGTTCTTTCGTGCAGTTTATTGTTTAGCCGGTTTCATCTTTCAGTTTCAGAATCTCCCCTTTTCCAACAGAAAATTTCCTCCTCATTACCTTTATGTTTTTACTTTTATCAATTGTCTTATTATTTTCTCAATTTGGTGATATCCTTATTTAATTCGCTAATAATAATATGCATTTAGCAACAGGTATTTAGAAATAGCTGATGAGAAGAAGCATTATTTCTAAATATATGATTTGTTATTTGGAAAATATCATCGATCAAAAATACTGATGTAAAATCTGTTTCTGAATGCAAAATTATTAAGATATATTTTGTTTTTACTTTCATTTCCAACTATTTTGCATTAATAATAATGAATTGAATTCCAATTATATTATTATAATTATGTTAGCCGTCTGACAGTTTTGAGGTACTTTACCTCTTAAAAATTACTGTTTTTCAGGCATTTGTTTACCCTTAATTGAGCCAAAATTTTAAATTCTAAAGTAAGGCCGGTTTCCACTTGAATAAAATTCGGAATCGCAATTGTTACTCGATGCAATATTGTTAAACGTATCAGAAGAAAACGGGCATTTACTAAAGGTCTATATAACTATAATTTGAATTTTACTTTAATCACCGTACAATTTTCATGGGATCGGCAAAAAAAATGTCCATGCTATGACACAAGTTGCAAATGAATCAGTACCGAACGACTGGAATACTCACACTGGATGTCGAAAGAGCGCTCAACAGAGTGTGGAGAGACGGTCTCATCTATAAGATGAAGGAAATAGGTATTAACAAGAAACTGTGCCAGTTAATAGACAGTTATATTTGCAGAAGGAGCTTCAGCGTCAAAGTTGAAGGTCACCGGTCAGAAACCAGAAGCACGGAGGCAGGAGTACCGCAAGGAGCAGTGCTCTCCCCCCTGCTATACAACATATACACAAGCGACATCCCAAGACCT